CTTGCATTTATTATAATTAAAACCCATCTGCCATTCATTTGCCCAACTCACTAAATGATCTAAATCCGTTTGTAATTCAGCAGCATCCTCTTCACAGCTAGCAACACCCAAGACCTTAATATCACCTGCAAAATTAAGTAATTTATTGACCATTCCTTCATCTATGTCACTGATGTAAATCAAAAATAGCAAAGGTCCTAAAACTGAGCCCTGATACACCTCACTTGTGATATTAATCCAGTTTGACTGAACTCCATTTGTAACAACCCTCTACTTTCTTCCATCCAGCCACTCTCTTACCCCAATTAGCTAACTTATCCCCCACACCTATAAGAGATTATTTTTTACAAGCCTTTTATGTGGCACCTTGTCAAATGCTTACTAAAAATCTAGATACACCAAATTTACACCCTTACCGACATCTACTTAAGCAGTAACCTTTTCAAAGAATGTCAAAAGATTTATTAAGGCAAGATTTTCCCTTAGTGAAACCATGTTAACTGTCCAATAAAATTCTAAACTTTGTTAAATGACTTTGCAAAGTATCTTTTAATAGACTTTCCAAAACTTTTCCCACAACTGATGTAAGACTAATGTGACTATAACTACTGGGATAATTTCTATCACCTGCCTCGAAAAAGAGGAATTACATTAGCTAACTTCCAATCCTCTAGTACCTGCCCACTATTCAAAAAGTGACAAAAAATAGTAGTAAGTGGCTCACATATCCAGTCTTTAACCTCCTTCAAAACCCTTTGGGAAATATTATCTGGCCCAGGAGCCTTATCATTTTTTAAACTTCCCAATTTTTTCTTAAAAAACTCAGAATTAATGTAGTCATCTTGTTTGATCTTGTTTCCATCTATCAACTGTTCAAATGTGGAATACTGAATAAATCTTCATTAGTAAAAACCAAAGAACAAGCTAAATTTAATAACCCAGCCATCTCATAATCATCAGATACTAGCCTTCCTTTTTCATCCCTCAAGGGTCCTAACCCCTGTCCTAACATTTTGTTTATCCTTAAAAGTACTTAAAGAAATCCTTACTGTTAATTTTTACATTTTCAGCCAACTTTTTCTCATACATCCTTTTTGATGTCCTAATTTCCTGTTTTAACAAATGTCTTGATATTCTATAATCTTCTAGGTCTCCTGTCATACTAGTCAATTTAAATTTCTTAAATTTATTATGCTTTTCTTTAATTTTATCTATTACACTCTTTGTGATCCAACCTGGCTTTTTACTTTCAGCTACAGTTTTCTTTCTATAAGGAATATGTTTACAATGAATATCTACAAATTTATCTTTAAAAAATTTTCGTATCCGATTAGTGTCTCCAAATAACTCAGCTGCCCAATTCACAACAGATAATTCTTGTCACATCCCTTCAAAATTTGCTTTTTTGAAATTTGTAACCAAAATATCATTATTCCTTATCTCCATATGCAGCAAAACATCGAACCTAATAGAGCAATGATCACTTGCACCCAGATGTTTCCCAATTTCCACCCATTTGATCATTTCTAT